ATTACTGTTACGCTTCTGTCAGTCATAAAGCTAATGTTTGAAAAAAAGCGTTTGACAACACTTACGACAGTCTTAGATGTATTCCCGGATTTTTAATATTCCTTTTGTATTCAGCTGGGATATTAAATTACTTCGCTGCTTAATAATTAAGAGCTATTTTAACCTTTCATTTATTGCGAAATATTAGCTAGCTCAATCAAAACAAAGATGGCGGCCGGAAGTTACGGCCTACTTCCTGTAATGTAGCCTACACTCCACAAGACAATTGTGAATTAATTGTTAAATTAATTATGGTAGAAAATAAGATAAATATAGGTATACAGTATTATAACAAATGTTTTTATTTTTAACATCATCTTTTTTATGAGCAAGTCACCTCCAGTGACAAATCTGTGTTTGGCTGTGGTCCAAATTATAACCAGTTTAACTCTATTAATAACACTATGATTAATTCCTACAGGTTCTATGGTCCAGCTGGTCATTTATTTTGAAACAGGCATATTTTTGTTATCCTATTAAACAATAACATTAGGCTACAACATCTCTCCACAATGTTTAACATATAATCTTAGCAAATACTTTGCATAAAAAGTCCTTTTCTTTTTAAATGTAATGTAATGCCCAACTATTTTTTTTTAGAGGTAAGCCTACAAAACAGAACATATATCTTATCATTTAAATGTTGGGTTTTGCGATACGTCTCAGCTACTCACTGCAGTTGAATTCATCAGAGCCATCTCGACAGTCCTGCAGCCCATTGCAGTGCTGAGTGTTGTTGTAACAGGCCCCATTGGCACATGTCTTTTCAGTACAAGGGGGATAGTCTGCAAAAAAACATTGTTTTATTATTTTCATAAAAAGGATTTTAAATTCGCTCAATGCTGCAAATAAAATGATTCCTATCAAAGTATTAAGAAAATATAAGGGTACCTGCAAATATCTGATATGATATTAATGTACAGTGTGGAAAGTCTTACTGCAGTTGTTCTCATCAGAGTTGTCCACGCAGTCCTTTACGTGGTCACATCTGTATTTGCCGGGGACACACTGGCCCTCCTGGCAGGTGAACTGGTCCGGGCTGCAGGTCCGCCCACCTGAACCCAGAGCATATGAGATAGTTTGGTTGCTAAATGCTTTGTAACAGGGAAATTACTACTCGCAATTTGTAGAATGACAACATGCTTTGAATGTAATTAAAGGTATTTTTTGTTTGTCCAGAATATCTTTGTCACTGACATGGAGAGCAATGAACAAAAATATTGGAAGAATGAAATCAGAAACATACATTTGTTTATTACCAAGCTACTAATAGGAATTTTGGGACAATGTGTTTCTCTTTCTTAACATTTGAATTATATAAATGATTAGATGCTGTATTTTGAGCCAATGTTCTTGACGTATGTGATTTGTTTTTTTATTGTGTCAGTTTCTCATTCTTAATAACGGTACATCAACAATCACTCTGCATACCACAAGTTCTTTGTTCATCTGATCCATCAATACAATCTTCCTCTCCGTCGCATACAAATCCCGAAGAGATGCATTCACCGCTTGTTACACACTTAAACTCCTGCAAGGTGCATGATGGAGGTGCTGCCACAAAGAAGAAAAACATTGAAGAGTTTAAACATTAATTATTTTCTTTCTCTCAAACTTTATTTACCCAGTTAACAGATTATTATAAATCACTGAAACTCACGACAGTTCAGCTCATCTGAGTCATCTGCACAGTCTTTAGTCCCATCACACCTCCAAGCTTTGTTGATGCATTGTCCAGAAGTGCATTGAAACTCTCCACTGCCACAACTTCCTGCAGAGAACACACATACAGAGACAGATCTATTAAGTTAAAACATCAGCCATCAGTCATCTTTTTATGATTATGGTGTGGGCTTGACCTTCATGATTTGAGTTAAAGAGGTCATTTACACATTTAATACAGTTTATTTACTGTTCCAGTGACAAATGAGTTACCGTGTTTATGACAGCTGTATCCACACTCTGTATGCAACTTTTGAACCTTAAAACATGTGATTCTACAATTAAAGGATGGTTAATTCTTCACCATGAATGAACAGCAAATCTTATGACCCTGGAGTAACAGGCAATCATTTCAAATGGATAAATGATGTCTGAATTAGCACAGGGAAGTGTGCATTGTATAACTTCAGCATTCACTGTTCAGTATTTTATGAAATGTAGAATAAGGTGACAAAAACTCAAGAAATTGTATTTGTAATAAATTACCTTTTATTATTTTAGGGTTGAAGGGTGACATGTTATCATCATGTGTATGTTTTAATTATTTTAAAACAGCTATAATTCTCACCATTTTTATATATGAAATCATTTTCGTAGGGTGTCAAACTACTCACATTTTAGGAAATCCCTTCAACCTCAATATTTTTGGCCAAAATAACACTTTGACACACCTGACCATTACAAAGCATTTTTAATCTTATCTAATTACTTAGCTTTTACATATTTGTGATTACTAGAAAACATATTTTTCGAAAAATCAAGATTATACACTTACCTTGAGCAAGATGAATTCCTTGGGACAGCAGTAGGAGAAACAGAAGATAAAGACCTTTTAGGTCCATCATTTAATGTTGCTGTTAGTTTGATAAAGTGTGTACACTCATGCTACATCTGACTCCTGGGGAAGATACTGCCTTTGACACTGAGATGTATGACCCTGAGCAACCAGCAGACCAATACTGTGACACGGAGTAATACAGCTTTTTATGGCTCGCTACTTTACATAAACTTCATCTAAGATTAACTTTTACCTGTTGCTATGTTGTCTACATCAGCAAGAAAAAGCAACCACTGATTTTTGTATAACACTGCGGCAGGAAGTTAATACAGACCATATAGTTCCTGAGTACAGTTATCACGAGTGCCTTTCATCAGTTTTTTAAGATCTAAAAAGGACCTTTAAGAACACGATATGCTTTTGTATGTTTTTTGGTTGAAAGCATATGATGTGCATCTTTTTTTTAACGTCTTCAAAATTGCACTGTTGAGGAACCTGCGATCTAAGTTTTTCATACATTACATAATTACACCGTAGTTTTGTTATGACAATAAACGTTTGAATCTTGAATCTGTGACACATATGTAATACATTGCAACCACAACGTTCCTCCCTGCAATAAATATTGTTGGTAAATCAAAGTTATTCTATACAGTGAAAGGGGTGCATGGTGTTCAATAGCAGTGCTTATGAAATGACTACTACTTCTTACTACTTACATTAATTTATGCAGAGGTCTTTGAATTCCACCCTGCTGGGAAACAATAAAACGTATTTTCATTATCATTTCACGGAGCAGCGTGTTGCATGTTAATATAAAAAAATTGTCCCATTATCGAGAAATTATCGTAGCTTCTACTGTAACCATGTCACAGTACATGTGCTTTATTGGTTTGAAGCAGAAAGGAACATTACTTTGTGACAGAAACAAGAACAGTTTAATATCTACTAGTGGAATTGGATTGTTTGTCCCTGTTGCATTTATCCTCTTCAGTAGTATGAGACAAAAACTGTAATAAAGCTACACTCAGAGCTCAATAATATTGTTCTGGCTGGAAGTGTTATACCAGCAAATGAACAGATCAGATGTTAACATGAATGATGTATCCCTTACAAACATGTGTACCATTGCGAATTGGATATCATGTGTTTTTTCTGATTGATACACCTGCTGTGCTTGTAGTCATTTTTCGCCCCATGTTAAACTACATTTATTACAATGCTTTTAAAGCTGACACATGCACATACGTCATTATAACTGTATGTCTACAAGGATTTTTAAAGGGTGCATTTGTTTCAAACAATAGTAACCTACGAAAGGTTAATCAGCAAAGCACAATAGTGTAATTTGAGGACATTTCAGTGATTTAATTAAGTCAACATATATTTGGACTGTTATTGAGTGTTAACCCCGTCTTCATCACTGCTTGTGTTAGTTAAACTTTGGCGCCTTCCAGTGGCAGTACAAAAAAAATACACACTGCAACCACCTCTACATATTTGACTTCACAGAAGCTGTTAAAAAAACATCATAATAATAATATTTATAAAACTTATAATAGGTTGCTTAATATTTAAGATGTCTTATAGTTAAGTTAACTATTTAAATAAACCATGAATATCATAAGTAGTGAAAATGTCATTATTTTGTGTGTGTTTAATGTAATGTCAATTTTTTATTGTTGAAATTAGGTACATTTCCTAAGGATAATATGAGTGACGAAAAAAAACAACTGAATAAGTATAAGTATTGTAAGTATTGTTGTTTTATTTTTCCATGTTGAATACAGCTTGGTATGAAGACATTGGTTGGAAATAAAACAAAAATATACTCATAGTTGTACAAAATAATACATCAAACTGTTTCAATGTAGTAAACATTTTACACAAATTATACTGAAATATATAGGGAGGGATCTGGCATGCCCTAATTTAGGAGTAACTCATTAAATGGTATGCGAACAAAGGAAACCCGTCTCATTCACAACAGCTGAGTTAAACAGAAAGATAATTCTCATGATAAACACAACACATTTCACATACAAAACGATTACCTGTAAATTCATGGACGACCCTCACATAACATAATAATTTATTTATAATAATATATCGAACAGCTCCTCGTTTGAGGGTTTACAAATGTGAAATCGTTAAAGAGTAATATCTTAATTGATTGACAAAAATGTTGAGAAACCATTAAAAAGACCCCCATTGTATCTCATATTCAGAACTTTGACAACGATTAAAGAAAGACACACATTATTTATAACAGCTTATAATTAGTAAGAATAGAGTTTACACTTTTTTTGCACATTTCTCCAGCTATTGCACAGGACCTGGTGGTGTTTAGGAATAAAGTTATTTGTGGGGGGAAAAACAAAAAAAGGAGAATGTTGAGGTGTTCCTGACCCAGTTTCTGATCTGGGTAAATGTCAATGAAGGATTTGTTAACCATCTTCTCCTGTCTTAGTGCATGTAAGGGCTGCTGTGGCCTTGGCTCTGAGCGTATGGGTTGCTCTGAGCGTACGGGTTGTTCTGAGGTCGACTCTGGGAATACGGGTTGTTCTGCGGGCGAGCGTAGAGGCTGCTCTGTCGAGACTGAGCATACTGGTCCTCATTGTCCTCGTTGAACCGCTAAAATGGAAAGAGAATTTTTGGATTCAATTATTTTAAAAACCAATATATTATGTTTATCTTAACCTGATAAATGTTTTCTCTTCTGCTCAGCATTTTGTCTTTTTCTGTTGGTCTGTCCTCCTTCTTTTTTTTTTTACAAAGGACATCTTACAAGATATATAATATATGGGGGGACCCTATGGGGGATATATGTCCCATGTCCAATTATATCTATAGCCTCAATATTTTTTGAAATAACAAAAAATAAATGTTTTGAAACTATATTAAACATGTGTTCTAACAGATTATCTGTTATACATCCATATGATCTGTTTTCTTTTTTTTTTATTACCGCCTAATTTTATTCCATATTTTATTCCATTCTATTTCTATGTAAGTACTGCAATATTTTACTATATTTTGTAGTTATTTTCTAATATTTTGTAATGTTAATTTATATGTATGCACCAGGACATCAAGTCAAATTCCTTGTACGTGTAAACCTACCTGGTAATAAACCTGTTTCTGATTCTGATTATTTGAGTAAAGTAAGTGTAGAAAGTATCATATCATTTTTACTATAGATTTCGTCATGAAAATATGAGCTTATCCTCTGAACAAAAACAACACATTTTTATTTTTGAAGAAACATGATCATTTAAATGAATGGATCTCAACACTTTTCCAGACACTGTTTCCATTTTATACTTCATTACTTTTTTTTTGCAAACTACCGTCCAACTTCTCTCCTCTGTCTATCACACAGAGTCATGCTCACCGAGTTCCTCCCAGCAGGGATCAGGTTCTGCCGGCTGTTGCTCGGAGTCATCTCCAGGTTGGTCCTGCTGTCCCAGCTGCTGGTGGTCGTGGCCCGTGGGATCCTAGGCACCCCAGCATTGCCAAAGGCTGACTGGCCGTTACCTAGCCCATTAGCCGGGGCTACGTGGCTGTGGGCTCCCAATGGCGCCTTGACAGGAAGTTGGCTAACATAAGAGTTCCCAGTGTCTGCTTTTTTGCTCTTTTTGGAGCTCTTTTTCTTTGGGGATCTAAAAAGAGTACATACAATTACTCTCAACTTTAGCTTTATCTGTCATGTCTGCACTATAGACTTCATTGTATTAGTAGATAGATTATTCTACAACTCCAAATGTTGCCAAATGTGTGGTGCATTAAGAAAATGTTAGGTTAAATGCAGCTTTGTCACAATAAAAAAGGTTCATAATCAATCTGATGGGTGGGAGATTGAGAGATAAACATGGCTAAAACATGACAGAGTCAACAATGAATGACTAAAAGTGGGCAGGTGAATAGATGTGGGGCTCACCTGACTGCCATTACTATCAGAACAATGAGCGTGATGAGCAGCAGTGCCCCGAGCACAGAGCCAACGATTACCAGCGACAGCTTCCATGCTAACAAACACAATGACAAGGACATTTATAACAAGGCTATTGACATTTTTTACAACTTTTGACATACAAGTGTTTTAAAATGAAGGTACAACAAAGTCATAATGGACCCCGACTTTTCTTTACATCAAGGTCTGTTCACAGGTCTCATGTAAAAGTTATAAAGCCTTTTATAAAATCTGATAAATGTATATATATATATATATTTTTTTTAATTCATTTTGTATACATTTGATAGGTTATTGATTTCTTCTGTGTCATAATAAATATTTTGATAATGTATTCTTTTGTGGCTGTCGTTTTGTCTTAATGGTCAAACAGATACTGTGTATACTCACAATCGGTGCAGTTCAAACCAGAATAGCCAAATGAACAACTGAAAGACAAGAACAAATAGTCATTTATAATTTCATTTTAAACCAAGCCTTTTGTATGAGTTGTATTATTATTTTTTAATATGATATGTCATTTTAACCTTACTTTTCACAGACATTGGATCCATCAGGTTTTTGACCGTTGGGACATGCTGCAAAGATAGAAAAGTTTCAGGTAGTGTCGTTTAGTTAAACAAAGGCTAGTATGTCACACACACACACACACACACACACACACACACACACACACACACACACACACACACACCACACACACACACACACACACACACACACACACACACACACACACACACACACACACACACACACACACACACACACACACACACACACACACACAGACACACACACACACACACACACACACACACACACACACAATCTGTATGTCTCTACCACACTAAATGCCCTTACCAATGCATATCCTGTTAGTGTAGTTGGTGGTAATGTAACCAAGCGCACATTTACAGGTAAAAGTTCCGTTCCCAGATTCGCATCCTGCAGTATTCGTACCACAGGTAGTGTCACCACACAGTTCTCCAGCTTTAAATGAAGAAAAAAGAGTTGGTACATCTAAATCCAAGAAAATCCAATGGTACAAAATAAAACTCATACATAATAAGAAGCATGGTCTGAAATGTACAGTATATTTATAGTTGCACATTATCACTCGCCAGCTAAATTATACTCTGTACACTGTACAAAGATCACCATATATGTGCAAAGACCATGATTGGGTAACCTTGTCTGCTGGGGATTCACAACCAACAAGCACAAATACGTTTAATATGTCAAAGCAACAAGAAGACACTCTGCAACAACTAAACTAAACAGATCAAATATTAAAATGTATTTTATGTTCTTTTTGCTTCACGCTGACAGAACAACATTTTATTCCTGAAAAAATCCAAGGCTTCAGGCTTTGTTAAAATGATAGTTTGCTGCATTTTATGTATTATAATAACACTTTTTTCAAACACATTACACTTTAATGATTCATTTATATGTAATGATTACATTAAATGATCACTGGGCAAATAAGTGAGTTAAGTTCTTAAAACTAAACAGCATTATATGGTTATGCAATTCACAGCCCTAACATTGACAACTTCAAACAATAATGCATACAGCTTTTTGAAAAAAAAAAACCTCTTCAATTACATTCTACCTGCAAGTATATCTATTTAGGTTTAAATAATATTTTTGATAAATCTCTCCTTAACACTAGATAAAGAACTGAGGTATACATTTGATAAACTTACGAACGAAAGATGAATCCTTCAATAGGCAATCCTCACAAGCCTTCTCTACCTCCAGTTTCTCTGTAACTTCTGCTGTTACGATGTCAGCATTTGCCTTGAAGATGATCTGTACATCTGCTCTGACCCCAGTGCCTGCTCTTGACCAAACTTTGGTGTCTTTAGTGATCTTGCTGTATATAGAAAAAATCACATGTAAATTATATTATGTGTATTATATGATATTTACATTCTGCCTTATTTAAGAGCAACATGGTGTAAATGTAATGTAGGAAGTATGGTTTTAGATTGATAGACAATAAGATTGTTAACACATTGTGACTTACCTGAGCTTCAGCACTATAGATCCAGAGTAACTATCATTATACGATTCAAAAACTCGATCCAGCTGTGTTTTAGGAAAAAATACCATATTGTTAACCACTTCGTCAAACTTCACTTTGATCGTTGTGTAGCAAAATGCCACATTCATTACAACATGCATCCAACTTAATACCCAGGTGTAGCACTGGTGAGTTCGTGATCTATCACTTATGTCACTGAAATGTACAATCATCAACATTATTTAATGTGTTTAAAAGAGAAAAAAGGTTTTATTACTCAAAAGGAAAAAAATAGAAGCCATTAAAAAACTAAATATAAGAACGTATTGCTTACCTCGTCAGTGATTTCTTTGGATGCAACACGAAATTCCTTTGAGGTCTTGTCATCCATACCTTCCTTGTATGCTTGTACAAGAACAAGGTTTCCAGGAAAAACTTTGGCTAAAATAGGAAAACATTGTCTTAGCTTAAAGGACAAACTCCTGTCATAACCATTTAAAAAATAAATAAAAATACTTCTTGCCAAGAGTTAGATAAGAAAATAAAGCCACTTTCTTATCTGACCAATGAGCGAAAGACTACAGTCAGCAGCTGGTTAGCTTAGCATAAAAGGGAAGCTAGCATAAAATGAATTATTGTCAGGAACACGGTACAAACAGGACTTCTGGATGTCACTGTTCCTGTCGTAAAATATAGCCCTGGAAAACCCCAAGTAGCTGCTCATTCACTTTTTGTGTGTGAATTCAACAAACAAATGATGACGCGTTCATTCTCAGGTGCTTGAAGATGGATTTACCCAGGCCAGCTTTTTTCACGTTGTTCAAGGTGTGGATTTGAGCTAAGTTATTCAACCAAATTCTGGCTGCAGCTACATATCTATATTGTTAAATCTTCTCATCTTACTGAATATTACTTAAAACGTTGAACTGTAGCTCTAAGTATTAGTACTTGTTTCCTAAAGATGCTTATCATGTTGACCAACCTGATACTACTAGACTTCAATGATTAACACTACTCTTCATCCCACAGATAGGCCTTACATACAGGCCTACACTTTAATATTACAAATCATTTAGCCAATTCTAAGCATGGACTGGAACAACGTCATAGAGGACAAATACTTACCACTGTCACAAGTTTGGCTGACTTCATTGTAGAAATCACCAGCCAAACACAAGCATGCAAAGGTTTGATCGGCACGACGTTCACAGGTGGCCCCAGAGCCACATGGGTTTATATTACAAGGGTCTAAGGCAAGGCAAAAGAAGAAGAGAACAATTCACAGAACAGTACATGATAATCATTTTTGAAACAATGACATCTTGGAAACAGATAATATGTATTTTTGAAAAGTGACATTACGTGGAAGCTCTGTAGTGGCAGGCCCTGCTATGGTTGTGGTGGCAGGCTCTATGGTTGTGGTGGCAGGTCCTGCTATGGTTGTGGTGGCAGGTCCTGCTATGGTTGTGGTGGCAGGTCCTGCTATGGTTGTGGTGGCAGGTCCTGCTATGGTTGTGGTGGCAGGTCCTGCTATGGTTGTGGTGGCAGGTCCTGCTATGGTTGTGGTGGCAGGTCCTGCTATGGTTGTGGTGGCAGGTCCTGCTATGGTTGTGGTGGCAGGTCCTGCTATGGTTGTGGTGGCAGGCCCTGCTATGGTTGTGGTGGCAGGCCCTGCTATGGTTGTGGTGGCAGGCCCTGCTATGGTTGTGGTGGCAGGCCCTGCTATGGTTGTGGTGGCAGGTCCTGCTATGGTTGTGGTGGCAGGCCCTGCTATGGTTGTGGTGGCAGGTCCTGCTATGGTTGTGGTGGCAGGTCCTGCTATGGTTGTGGTGGCAGGTCCTGCTATGGTTGTGGTGGCAGGTCCTGCTATGGTTGTGGTGGCAGGTCCTGCTATGGTTGTGGTGGCAGGTCCTGCTATGGTTGTGGTGGCAGGCCCTGCTATGGTTGTGGTGGCAGGTCCTGCTATGGTTGTGGTGGCAGGCCCTGCTATGGTTGTGGTGGCAGGCCCTGCTGTGGTGGCAGGCCCTGCTGTGGTGGCAGGTCCTGCTATGGTTGTGGTGGCAGGCCCTGCTATGGTTGTGGTGGCAGGCCCTGCTATGGTTGTGGTGGCAGGCCCTGCTGTGGTGGCAGGCCCTGCTATGGTTGTGGTGGCAGGCCCTGCTGTGGTGGCAGGCCCTGCTATGGTGGTAGTTCCTTCTCCGTCTGTAGGTCCTGCTGGGGTTGTATGAGAGAGGTAACCACTATGCTTGACATTGTTTTCTCTTTAGTATCAGAAAAATAGACATATTTGTACTGTGGTATGAGCAGATATTAAGATAGAATGAAGGCTTGCGGATAGGAAATTCTCAGTTCAGTTTATTGTTGATCCAAACTAAGAATACATATTTTAATGTGTCACATTTATATGGAAGATTTTAGAAAAACAGAAAAAGAGAGACATAATCGAAGAGGCCAAAAAAATTACGTGTCCAACGTCTAAAGCTCAATCAAAGCTATTAAAACCAGACTGGAGGGTGTATAAGGAAAACCAATAGACTTCCTTGATTGAAATAGAAGGTGACAACAAGGGTCATAAGATAAGGTCAGATTGTCTGAATTAACACAGTAGTTAAATATTTACATTTGATGCGTTTAAACCAATCCTACATACAAAAAATTGTTGTTAGGCCAAGCTTGAAGCCATTGTGAAAAGCGGGCCTTCATTTCTGACTAGCTGTTATTTTAAATTTCTAACAAAACTGATCTATTCTTTTTTTGAGAAAAATAGATGCATACATTAGCAATGTTGTTTCGGCCCTCAGTCCATATCATCACTTCCATTTGACCTGAAAGGGTATCACTTGATCTAGAACCACGCAATATCTTCTTTAGATCTTCTACTTTCTTATAAAAACCCATTTCAACACAAGATCTGTGATGATTATATTATTGCTCTGGATAACAACTTTTTACATATCCATAAAAAATAGACTGTGAGAAAAAACAAAATGTTCCTCTGTTATAAAATATACCTTAAATGTCTCCTATTTATTTGCGAGAGGCTAACGACTGATACAAAATAAAGGTTCAGGCAACTTACCAAGACAGGCCACAACCAGCAAAAGAGCGTAGAGGAGGTTAAATTCTCGAGCCATTGAAAAATAATTTACTGACAAACTTTACCAAGAGAAAGAGAGCCAGAGAGGCGGGTGAGTGGACGAGGATTAAGGGCTCCAGTGTCCTCCACTGGCAGTTTTAATCATTAGCCACTCCTTTGAGGGCGGTACCGTGTGCCAAAGTACATTTCCCGCCCAGAAAAAAAAGACTTGGAGGTCCCACTTCCCATGTCTCTGTTTGTTTGTTTTTGTTAAAGACCAGAAATTGAGTCAGATCTTTGAGACATATATCTATAGCCATCATAAACACAACCTTTTCCATATTTAAATGATAGAGAAAAACCAAAGAACAATAGGGCTGGCCTGGCTGTTTGTTTGCCAAATGATCTTTGGGAAGTGTAGCGTGAAAGAGGAACCACTTAATGAATAATCACAAACTGTCTTAAAATGACATAAGAGAACAGGCTAACATCCTCTGTACACAGCAAAGGGCCTGAGTGATGATGTGTTTGGGACAATCCTGAAAGTCAAACCTAACATCATTGGCGGGGGCAGCAAATACGCTTTGTGTTAGAAAAAAACAACAGTTTTCAACATAAAGTGTTTAATAAGACATCCAAGTTAATAGAGATATCTAAAATGTAACAAATGTGAAAACATTATCTTAAAGAGAGGTCAGGTAATATTCCTCAAACATCGTCAACACGCAAATCTTCCCACACGCTGCAGTAAATCACAATTTATTTTTGCAATATAGATAATTAATAATACATTTGTCTATCCAACAGATCATCGCATACAGTTCATTTCTGTTGTTTTCTGCAATTGTGTTTTTGTTTATTTGTGTAAAGATACCAATAAAATGCCTTAAAATTCTTATCTTAGACCTTTTCCTTTAGGAACAGTCATATCTCACACAGCTAAGGTAATTCAGAAACATTTAAATTAACGTTGTTCATCTCTTAGATCATATAGCTCAGACATAATGTTTAAACGTAGTATTTTATAGCCATATATATTTCTCTAAACTTCTCAGGGAAAGTGTTTGTTTCTCTTTTGTTTGTAATAACGGTTAATAAAAGCACAGTTTAGGAGAACCAAAAAAAAGGAAGCAATGGCTGTAAGGCGGATAAGATGAAACTGTTGGAATTATACCAGGCTTTTTGTATATAATGAGGAAGCTTTAAAGCAGAGGAGTGTTTAATGACAGGGGTTATTATAAATATATGATATCAAACTAATTACAGTTTATGATGTCACGTATGTATTTCCTGGCTTTACAGCTGAAACCATGTGGAAACAGAATTGGAGGATTGACGTCGTCATTTATGACAATTTTCAGCTTCTTTCTTGTTCAAATAGCACGTATAATTGTACATCTAAGCCTCAGACTTTATAAGTTACTTATAGAGGCCGAAATGAACAGGAGGGGCAAAGATTACATTCCTTGCCAGTCATTTTATGAATTTATGGCAGTTTCCGCGGTCACCATTCACCCCTGGGACAGCTTCTGTAAACATGATTTCTCCACAGCACCTAACATGATTGTGTCCGACTCCATACAGCGACACAAAAGAAGCTGCACCCATGACGCTAAATGCCATTAAGAGCAAATGTCTTAAAATGTTGCTTCAGAAAGTGATTAAATCCAGTTTGAACTGTCTTATCGGAAAGCAAGTGGACAATAAACCAGGGTGGGCCGTAGGAAAATGTGACCTTTGATTCAGAGACGTCATAAGATGTGAGATATTGTGATCTTGTTGTTAAACTGTCTACAAAATAAGCGTTATGAGACCTCAACGTGAAAGTTTGAACATTTGGTAAATCAAAGTGTGTTATCAACCTTCCCCTTCACAAGTCTGAAGTTATGTTTTAATATTTTAAAGGTCACTGATATATCTTCTCATTAACACCCATAAAAAGGTTTTATCTCCAGGTTGACTTTGATCCCAGATCTATATCTAAATGAACACACAACTGACTAAAGTCTTACGCCACTCAAGCGTCACCATGGGCGTCAAATGGCTAAAATAGCCTTTAGATAAAAACAGTTTGACCTGTAGGTGAAAATAGTTCAAGCCCTTGTTTCCATGGGTGTTGGTTTGTAGATAAAAAAAACAACACTTTAGTTAAAGTGGGGATTTAATAATTAGTTTTCATATTTTCAAAACACTGGATTGGAAACTGCCCTCACTCTTTAATTAACTTATGACTATATCTAAGTAGTTCATATTTTGGGGAAATATTATATGATAATACAGGGGTTATAATATACTGTGAAATATCATGATACTCAAAGCAAGGTGATATATTGAGATAATTGAAGGAAAACTCAAAGCATTAAGAACACAGCAGCATATGCATAACGTCTGAGTTAAAACATTTCACATGATATCAGAACAGTGGGATCTGCATGTACCTTTATTACAGTCTCTGGGACATTTGACATTATATCACTTTATTTGAGAAGCCCCATACACTGGGATGGTGAAGAATTAGCAGAATATTGACTGAGTTCATCTTTAAATGAAACCAATATTTGAATTCGATAGTATTTTTGGGGTCAATGCAGTATCACAAAACATTATATCGCCGTTCGATACTGTATTGATTGTTTCTTACACCCTTGTTAATAAAATAAGCCTATATCCTTTAATTATAATAAGTTTAGAAACAGACATGACTTGTTTTTAAAATGCATGTCAAACGGTTTCACTATATATGTAAATAGACATACATTTTGCAAATTCATCATTTAAATACATAAGTTCAATTGTCAGGCCTTTGGAGTGGATAGATTATAACATTACAACATATGATATATGATAGGACATTCTCTTTACCCAGACATCTACATTATCACACCAATGGGATCTACTAAGTACAAACTATCCAATACATCCCATTGCTTTGTTGAACTAGAAGGATTTCACTCTCTATTCCATCCTCACCTACCTTCAACAGATGTTAGTTAAATTGGTTAGTAATTAGGAGTTAATTTCTCCAATAGCGAACCATGGGTTTATTATTATTTTTTTATATGATGTGATCGCTTCAACAGTTTATTTTGGATCCGGTAAATGATTAATCCCTGCACATTTAGACATCGACGATATAATTCCCCGGCTACATTTGTCAGCGGCAGGTTTTATGAACATGTTGCCCTGAGTCAACAGAGGTGCGATGGCGGAGCAGTAACTGCATCTGTGTCTCCTGCTAGCTGTAAGTCCAAAGTCACTCGCAGTTACGGCCATCCTCGACCCCACCCAGCCTGCTGTTCCTGGCAGCGATTAGAGTTAGAACATGACGTTCATGATGGAGAGATACCAGCTTTGTAAAAGGTGGCAGTGCCATTCAAACCCACGGAGACCCTTAACTCTGATCACGAGGCTCCTTCAACAAGAGACTGCTCAGAGATACTGCTCATCTGCGTTCAAAACAATGACATAAGAGCTATAAACACCAAGACAGGAAGCTAATGATTTGCACACATTCTTTGTACCGACTGAATATTGTTGGATTTGCTTATTGTTGTTGCTTTATAACCCTTTCGTCAGACAAGGACTTAAATACAGGGTGATTTTTGAAAAAGCCCAGAATATCCAGAGGTATAAAGTAACTAAGTACATTTACTCAAGTACTATACTTAAGTACAATTTTGCGATACTTCTACTAGTGTATTTCCATTTTAAGCTACTTTGTACTTCTACTACACTACAATTCAGAGTTAAATGGTGTACTTTTAGTCCAATACATTTATTTAACAGTTTTAATTGCTTTGCAGATCTGGATTAATGATGTGAAATATAATCAACACTTAAATAAGACTTTAGTTCCACCTGGAAAACACAAGCTACCCTGCAGTATACAAAGTCATTCAAACTAGCTGTACTTTTACCTGCTTTGATAAACACAATAATGCATAAATAATTATGATCAAAACATAAAATATATTATTTGCATAATGAGTGCTTTTACTTTTGGTACTTAAGTATATATTGATGCTAATTATTTTTCTACTTTTAATTGAGTAACATTTTGAATGCAGGACTTTTACTTGTAACAGAGTATTCCTGCACTCTGGTACTTATACTCTTACTCAAGGACAAGATATGAGTACTTCTACCAACTCTGCTGAAAACTACAGTATGGTTGGAGACACAAATCTAGTTATGGCAAATAAACTAGTTATGTTCAAGAAACTGTAACATTTAGTTAGGGAAATATCATGGTTAAGCGCTGTGGTAATACTGTCTATGACCAGTTTACGCAATATAAACCATTTTAAAACGCATTGTTGACCTACTAATCCATAAACACCACTATTTATAAAGCATATGATAATTATAAGTGCCACAATACTTCATAACTGCTGGCCACTCACTGACATTTAAGAAGTTCACTTGTGAACTTTATAAAAGTGATTTACAACCAGATTGTGGTGTATTATATCTGCCAATACCTGATACAGTTCAAATATAATTTAAGATTTAATTATAATGTATTACAATTATGGGAACACTATGATCTTTGCAAGAGGAACACAAGCGAGTGACGCAAGTATTGTGAAACTTTATAACATGAAGTGTTGCGATGAGTGTTGAAGCATTATTAATGTTTAGTGCTTTTAACAATCATTATAAAATGGAATGGGTCGATTTTTACCAATGTGTCTTGGAAATCGATGTTTGGCTGACACAGATTCAGTAAACAGAGAGGACAGATAATTATAAGTGTCTTCAAACACTACAAAAGGGTTGAAACTGCTGATCTATTCCAGACAAAAGGCCATAATAACAGACTCTCTTCAGTGTCTGGGAAACAGGTTTCACAGCTGTTAGGGTGTCAGGGTGAACACTAAAGCATCTGGTAACATTACATTCAGCACCTATCAGGAGGCAGCATGTACATTTCAACCACTATAGTATAAATGATCTGATAATGTTTTACCTGCGTTTGTCTGTCAGGAGCTACTCGATGGAACAGCTCCATCCTCTGGCAGCAGGTCGTGTTTCTAAACGATAGGATTCACATTAAAATCACATTATCTATGGAAGGATCACATGACTGTCACTCACAGCAGGAGCAAGGCGCATCCAAAGTGAGAATGCAAGTCACTGTTTTCTGGTGGCTTCTGTGTTGAAATACAACCTGCAACTGGGAAAAAGTGTTCAAAGCATAATCTGAGGAGAAAAACGAGAAGTTTTAGAAACCATATCATCTGAATTACAATGTTTCCTGAAACTAAAAAACAATCACAACTAGGGCTGCACGATATATCGTGTCGTGACGATAATCGCGTTATGCGCATGCGCGATATTCACATCACAGGACATGCGATAAAAAAAATGGAAGTGCGATATTAAGTAGGCAAATTAACTCAAACACGTCATGTTACAATTCTTTTGCTGCTTGCTACAAAAGGAAAAGGTATACTTGAGTGAGTGACATGCAGGCTCTGCATGCACAGCAAACCACCAATCACAATCATTCTTGATCAGATCACAGCAGGATAACCGAGCTAGCTCAACTTGTTGCTCTGATAACTTAAGATCCAGAAGTTTGTGACTAAAATCCTTCATCCGGTTAAATATCGTTTAAAAAATACCAGTTGTATAGCATTAAAGTTCAAGAAAGGATGGTTTGCGGACAAAAAAAACTGTCTTTTCTTCAATTCCTGTATTTTTTTATATCGCAGGGGGAAAAAAAATATATCGCAATGTCAGTTTTTTCCAATATCGTGCAGCATATTTATTTCTCTAATTTAATCTGCAGTGTGCTTGTAATGCCTTAAGTGTGTATTTACATTAAACATCACATGATTATTTAGAGTTTTTGTTTTGCAATTCCTAATTCTCTTCAGATTTCTATCAAATGTTGTCAGCCATCTTTCTATGTGCTGCTGTCATTGCCAGGAAAAGATGTTTGCCCAAAATCTTTTGTAAAAACAGAACAAAATACCAATAATTAGAAAAAATAAACAATATCAGGTATCATGAGCTTCTGAGAGACATAAACCACACCGTCTTTTTTTTGTAACAAAAAGTTTTATTGGCTTCTCTAATCCGTTCATCATCTCAATAACAGGTACAGCCTGGGAAATCATATCACATGGGGTCTAGAACAAATAAGACAAAGGGGATGGGGAGGCCTCTGCTACAACATTTGGTATTGAGGTGACAGTCAGAAAAAAAGCCATAGAAAAATGTCTTTATCATGCATACTGGAGAAAAACTCAAAAAAAAAAAAATGAGAACACACATTTGTAGTGTTTTTGTACATTTTTGTAAACAATATCCTTCTAGAGATCATATCAAAACACATTATGGCAAGTAACAAAAATAAGGGATATAACGAGAAAAATGAATGTTCTATGAGGCATCTAGAATGCAACACTGCTTGGCGTGGATGTTTTTACAGAAAAAGAAAAATACATTTGCATTTTGACGAGTCATTTGCTCTATAATTGTAAACACAGGCAGTGTTAAAATGATTATACAATATGTCGAACCTATACTACAAATATTTCCACTACATACATGAAACGCGTGTCCCTGCTTTCTTGCGCTTTAGTGATATGAGGTATATTTAGGTCAATCGTATCGTCTTTTTTTGTCTCCGTCTCTCACCCACTTTTTTTTTTTCTCCTTTAGAAAGCATAGTGTTTGTTTGGAGTGAGGTGGCTGGTCAGTCTTTGTTCCCTGTGATCTGAGCAGCTTCAAAGTCTCTTGGCTGTGGAGCTCACAGACATAGGAAAAGGAAAAAAGGGGAGAAGGGTCGGCTCACCGGAAATCAACTAAATTAAATATCAACCCTGGCTGCCGGGATAGAATGGCTTTAGCCACGGAAGACAAAGAAGGCCATTGTTTATTCTTGCGAGTGCAGGGCTGCATTTTGGGAAAGGGGAGGGGGGAATAAGTTACCGTTTGTGTTTCTTAACTGTATCATTGAAGCAGTTTCTTGCATCTACTACCACAGTGGGGTTAAAAATATCATTAAGAAAAAAGTCGAGGGGGGAAAAGGAGGTAAGAGGTAATGGGATTACTTGCCAAAAATATCTGCTACCGAGTTCTGTTGTGGCTAGTGGAGAATAAATAAAAAGGGGTTTGGGGTTCCAGCATGTCAGCCCGTCTCTCAAAACACTTAAATACAGAGGTACTCTCAAAATATTGTATAACAAAGTTATGGCAAATCTTTTTACAACATCACCCGACAGACCGTAAGAAAAAAATCCCCCCCTCCCCTTCTCTTCTACCCTTGAGAAAAAAAGCAACAAAATACATTTAGATGCCCATGGTCATGCCTACTCAACCCCTATTCAAACCCGTTAAAATACTCCCTCCCTCCCACCCCCCCAATCCCGTTCACAGTTTTCTCCTCTTAAAATAATATTAATAATCATTAGCATAATAATCACGTATCACATATGCAAATTGAATGGGTTGTTGTTGCTTCCAATGATGATTTGTTTTAAAAAAAGTGCTTGTTTGATTCCATTTACACAAAAAAGGAACAGCAAGAGTGGAGCAGAAAGTGGTGACTTCAGCATGAGGAAAAGATCTCGGATGATGTTTCTGAGACGTCCGTAACGGGATGAATTTAGTCTTAAGCTTCTTCTTTTCTACTGGCCAAAGCAGGCACAACTAGAGAAGTATGCGGTTAGACGGGATTCATTAACCGACGCCTAAAGCTGACAAGTTATCTTAAAGATGCCGTGTGCTGAACTCCACTACAATTCATACTACCTCGTGTACACATGTGGCTCTCTAAAGAAATGTGGATGTCTTCACATTGACACAACAGTACCATAATCTCAACAAAGCTACACGCAGTAGAAACCAAACATCATCATGTATTGTAATTTGTTGTTCCGACGAGTACAAAAGAAACAAAAAATCAAAGCTTTGTAGTCTCAAAGTACACCTGTAAAAACTGTGCCAATTGCATCTCATAATACAAAGTCTTATTACACAAATTTGACTATTTTTCCTGAGTTAATATGTTTCTTGTAACAGACAATATATACTTTTTTTGCAATTTGAATTCTGGGCCTTTCCCTGCCACACATGTTATTATTGAAATTATCAACATTATCCATTATTACTTTACAAATGGTATGATTGGTAAAACACAAGGGTTTCCAAAAAAAAAAAAAAAAGTAAGTTTATAGCTACCCTCTAAATGTTTTAAATTACATTTAAATCTACGGTACGTTCATATCAAAATCACTACTCTTAAACAAAAATGAAGCGACTAAATACATAATAAAAATGAGAATATTTAAAAAAATTGCATTTGAGGCCATGGAAGACCCTCCCTGGTCATTTTGTATTAACAATTAATGGCAGTGTTTAAAAAACAAAACTTTGCTACAAGAACAAAATTAGGATGGGTGTGGGGGCTGCATGGACAGTAACAGGAGCCCCCTGCTGGATTCACCTCGTTTGACCCTTATCTGAAACTTTGGCTTGTCTGGGTTTTTGATCCTGTACTCACTGGCTCGCCGACGTCAGCTAACAAACTGGTATACCCTGAGAATTCTGACACTGGAGTCCGTATTCGGTGGTCCACCTCCACCCCAGGATCGCTGCCGTAGCCCAGAGGGGTCCGCCGCCCTGACTTGAACTGGGAGCCAAAGGCCTGGGCGAAGTTCTCGATCTGGTACATGGTTTCTTTTGGGGTGTTCAGTGGGGACAGGTCGGGGTAGCTGGAGCCGTTGGTGGGTGCAATGCCCACTCCGGACTTGGGCTGCGGCCCCTTGGATCCGTCTGCCGAGGCAGTCAGGTCCTGGGGAGGTAGGTTGAAGGTGCCCGGGGAGTGCTGCTTCTCCAGCTGCTCCGTCAGCTCCTGAGAGGGGGTCAGCTGCTGGTGGCTGGTGGGCTCCAAGCTGAGGTGGTAGCCCGCCTGGGAGGGGGAGCTGACCAGCATGCCGTAGTGGGACTTGGAGGACGACGACGAGGAGTTTGACGAAGGGGCAACGATGGGAAGCGGGGAGGACACAGAAGGCGGGTAGCCACAGTCCAGCGGAGATGTGGCGTACCCGTGTTTGTCTGAGAAGAGGGGCCCCGTGGGGCTGGAGCTGCTGGACAGGAGTGGGAAGGGCCCCGTTTGGCCAAGGCTGGGGAAGGGCCCGCTGTGGCTGGTGCGCTCCAGGGCCTGCAGGAGGAACTTCGAGTACTCGCTCATCACTGCTTGCTTGTCGCCACCGTTGGGGGAGTCGTCCTCCAGCTCAGGGGTGACGGGGGCCGCCGGCTGGAGGTCGACGTGGTGCGGGTGGTCCGACAGGTCGAAAGTCACGTCGTGGTGGTGTTGCCCCTCTGGCTTATGGCTATAATGCTCGAGCAGGGTCTGCAGCACCTCGTCTGGAATGCCTGACTTGTCGTGCTTGAGATCCAGAGGCGAGGTGTCCAGCATGGCCAGCGTGGGCTCGGGCCCCAGGGAGCCGTGGATGACGCTGTTGCCCTGGGATACCATGTGCAGTGAGCCGGCTCCATAGTCATTGTTTACAGCTTGGAGGTAGCGCCGCTTTTTCACAAACTGCATTGCATCATCATAGTTGCTGCTGGTGGTGGGCCCCTGCTTGTTGAGCCCGGGCCCCTGGAGCAGACCCATGTTATCGAGGCCCGAAACCTCCACGTGATCCATGGAGTCGTGCTTCTGCCCCAACCGTTTCTGTCCGTCGGCGGTGTCTTCCAGAGCGAGGAGGCCCTTGTCCAGACCCTTGCGGCCGGCTTTTTTAAAGACCAATTTAGGAGTACGTCCCTGCATGTTGGGGTCGGAGCCCGAGGGGTGCTCCATGTCGAAGTCCTGCATACTCATCCCCCCAGAGGAAGAAGCTGCTGATGCCGAGGCGTTCTTCTTCCTCTTGCCGCCCTCCCCGTTTTTGGACTTGGCCCTCTTGCGTCCGGAGGTGGTCGAGTTTCCCTGAGTGAGTGAATAGCTGCCCTGGCCTAGCTCCGCATCGCTGAGCTCCAGCATGCTCGGGTCCAGGCCCTTCTTTATGGCTTCTCCACAAGTCCGTTTGTGCTTCAGTAACCGGTCTGTTCTTGAGAAAAACTAAAATTGGAAAAAGGAGAACATGGATAAGGATAAGGGAGGACAACCAAAACCGTTCTAAAATATTGCTCTCAATGACGTCTTTTAACTTCACTAATCCCATTTGAGACAGGGATTTAAAGATGGATTTAAGTGTGGAAAGCACAGAAATAAATGTTTTTTAGATTTGCAGACAAAATGATAATAATGCATGTTACTGATACACATAATTCAATAAAGGATCACTTCAAAAACAGCATCAAAAACATATATAAAAGCCAAATTGCAAAAGACATCAAATCAAAGAGAAAACGGCGGTAAGCTCCCTATCAAACAGACCACAGATAACCTACTTGTTGGCATGTATCGCAGCGATATGGCTTCTCGCCACTGTGTGTCCTTTTGTGTCGCTCCATATGGTACTTCTGGATAAAGCGCATGTTACACTGGTCACAGCTAAAAGGCTTCTCTCCTGAAAAAGACAGATGACGGTGTTAGAGTTTGTGTAACTACAACATCGCTTATATAATCTGATTATGCAGATAAGCAAAGGGATGTGTTCCAAAAACACAAGACTTTATATCCAAGGGCAGAAACTCACCACTGTGGATCTTCTCGTGCCGCTGGAGAAGATATTTCTGGATGAAGCTCATGTTACACTGACTGCACCGGAAAGGCCTCTCACCTGTGCGATCAAGAGTACAACAATCCGCTCACCACATTAATTATCTCCTAGCCCGTCACCCGACCATATGGTCACAATGACAGTTAAAGCTGTGGCATCAAACACCAGTAAGACGTATGAGACTCACGTGCTAAACACTTCATATAGACATTTCCTAGAGAAATGGTGTTATATTGTGTATTTAGTGTGACACATAAGACAAAGAACTATACAAAAACAACTGATTTCCCATGTTTAAATTGTGACACGCCAGTACGCTTGGAAGAAGTAATAAGGAAACAAGACAAGTGATTTCAAATAAACGGAAACAAAGTTTTCCTCCTAATCATTTATGTGTTCAAGTTCTAAAAGCAAAATGAGGTATTCCCAGCAAAGAGGATGACTAAGACTTCCAGAAATACATGAGTAATCATTGAGTCATCCGTGGCTTCTGTGATTTCCTGGTTTTAACTATGGCCCCAAGCACTCATGGGGAAGGGGAGACAGGGTTCATACACTTTTTCACCAATGATTTTACAATGACTTTTCCATGGCATTTACCTAATTTTCCATGACCAAAAGAATTACTCTTTCTCAGCGGTACCACTGAAACATTTTTATTTTAACATGGTAAACTGGAAAATAAGGTCTGCATATGAGACATGTTGTGCCTATCTAAAACCAATCAAATAGTAGGCTTACTAGCTTCTACAGGCTAAAGCAACTAAAATCTCTCACCAGCAAAATACCGCGACAGTTAAATGCCATTTTACGTTTCATTACTATACGATACAGTATTTATTATCATTATAGTATTACTATTTCCGCGATTAGATCAAATAAAATTATATTTGATGCAAATTTGGTTACATTTCCATGACTTTTCCAAAACTTTGGGAAAAATATTGTTTTCCATAACTTTTCCAGGGCCTGGAATTTGCATTTTGAATTTCCATGACTTTTCCAGGTTTTTAATGACCGTAGGAACCCTGGGGAGATTAGTTAGACCGGAGGGTAGTGAAGAGTGTCATTTTATTTTCCTAAGAGTGCTGTTTTTATTATTGCCTAATTGTGTTTTAGTGCAATCCTGCTAACACAGCTTAAGAGCAGGTAACATGCAAATTGATCACGGGAAGAATATTTACACAAGCATAGTTTCATTATAATGTTGTTAGCTCTAATACAGCCTCAACCAGGCGTCTCTTATTGGGAGATCTAATCAGCAATGGTGCAAGGAGGAGTGGACATAGCTGGTTGAATTGAACTTATCAACACATAATTTAATATAGATATATAGGATAAGAAGTAAAAGGCACTGGCAAGCAGCGAAAGCCTCTCACCTGTGTGTATGAGCACATGTCTGCGCAAGTGGTAGGAGCTGCGAAAGGCCGCGTTACAGTGCTCACAGATATGTGGTTTTGAGTTGGGGGACATGCAGGCTCCTTCTCCATCCAACATCATGGCCTACAAAGAGAAAACACATCAGAACATGTTAGATACTGAGATATTCTTCAGGCAAATAGCACATTGTTCTGGTGTATTGACAGGGACCACAGATAAGGGATTAACCTTAGCATCGTTGCGTTTCCTTCTTGCCTTGCCTCCCTGCCCGTCCCCGTTGTTCCTTCGCCCTCTTCTACCTGCAGACTCTTTTGGCTCTTTACCCGGTCTTACAGGCATCTGAGGACACACAACAACAACAACAGGGTAAGTTCAGTAAATGGCAGAAAAGGGACATAAATTGCTAGTTAAAAGGGTCTACAAATTCAAGTTGAACTAGATATCACTAAACAATATTAAGAACCACAACCCCTTCTCACCTGTTCTCCAAGGGAACGGACGTTGCTGAGGCTGAGGTCATGAAGGAGCATATTCTGGTGATTTTGGTGGTGATGGTTGGCGAAAGACATGTCCGGCATGTCATTATTACTTTTCCCCGCGCCCCCTCCAGCACAGTTTATCCCTACTCCTCCACCCCCACTGTAGAGGGGCATGCGGTAATCCAGCTCGCTTAGTCGCTCCTGCTTAATGCCCATACTGTGGAGGAAGCCGCCTGTGTTCAAATTGCCCTGGTGGTCTGGGGGAGAGTCGCGTTCTTTCTTCAGGATCATCTCCTGAGGAAGCTCGCCCATAACCGACTGGGAGGCGAGCCGCGTAAAGCTGGTGACCGGCGGCAGGTGGCTGAACATAAGCATACCTGGTGCAAAATTGGGATCCATGCCACCATTGCGCAAAAACTCATTGCCTAATTTGTCTTGGATAATACTCATGGTGGAGGTGTTGCTTTGTGCAGGGAAGAAGAAGGGCAGTAGGTCTAAAGAAGAATGCAGGAGAAGGGTTTCCTGAAAGAGAGAGAAGAATCATGTTCATTATTGGTGATTTTAGACATTGATACGTATAATACAATCAAAAATATTTGTCAGGTTTTGTCATTAATTTATATAAAAACACCTAATCTCTAAGGCCACTCCACCTAAAGTACTTCTCACTTGTCGTTAGCCTTCAGTGTGTGCAAGACAATGTTCTCTCAATTTCCCCTGTGGCCCATTAATTACGTAATTGGATTTATTAGGCTTTACGTAAATAGTCGTGAGAAACCTCTGAATTAAAATAAACAGCTCACTTTGTGAAACTGTCAACACAACAGTGAAGCGATAAATTGTAAATACTGTTTATACTACATGATATACATGAATATAAAACATGAAAGCAGTTAGTGGACTTTTTCTTTTATCTCAAACCCAGCAATCGACTTTTGGCACAGCTTGGAGCCAACGTTTATATTCTTTTACAATTAGTATGTCGAATACTTCAAAGAGACCGTACCATCGCAATGGCCCAAATTCCACATCAATCCCCAAATGAAATAATAAATAGGTCAACCATCATGAAAGAACCTAGTATTCTCTATAACAAACACAAAATAAAGACATTATTAATACACATTTGAATGAAAGATAAATGCACGTGTCTGTGTATTATTGAAATACAGATCTCTGGTTAATAAAAAACAGAGACACTAAGATTGTGAATTATATGAATGATATATGTTGTAAGTGTGTGAGGGTATAAAGTAAAAAACTGTGAAGCTCTATACTTAATAAAATACAAGCTTTGGAACGAAATTGGTTCTATATAATTAATTTAATAGTAAATGGAGAAAATAGCAAAAACCTGCGTCTGAACCCTGTATTGTTCTGCTTGCGGCATTTAGCACCACATGTGTTTTGGAATGTAGCCAAAATAAAATCTGTGCAAAAGCTTGAACGCCTTCACAGACATCCCTATTGTTTTTACACTTTGATGCATACTGAATCACACCGCTGGCCATGTTTGGTTAATAAACCATCACGAATTAAAAAAGCTGGGGGTCATTGATTTCAATACAGGCACACTAATCGGTCCACTACACTTGTCTAAAACAAACGATATTTAGGTCAAATACAGCTAGACATAACAGTCAAAATAGGCAGGCTTGATGTGTTACTACGTGTATCGAAAGGAGCACAGAAGACTGGAGTGAGAATGTATTGTTTAGTCTACACTAGCCGACCATTTGGCTCCTCCACACTGAATTCAACAGAAAGCGGATGAGCTTTTGTGATGCATAATAGTTAGCTAGTTAGCATAGCAAGCTAGCCGGTTTACCACAATGAGACACAATCAACGCACCTTTACGTCCTCAATCAAAACAATAGGCTAAGACAAACTAAAACCAAAGATCGGCCATTCACATAAAGTCAAACCAACAATCAAAGTTATGTTGACTCAATCAGCCATGTATGTCTTTGATAAATGTGTATTTTTATCCTATATTATCGATGTAACGCAACGTTTAGCATGTTACCTAGTGTTGCTATCAAGCTAGCTAATGCTAAAACAGGATCCATGATTTGATGCCATTAACGCATATTGGCTATTTAAAAAGGTACATATATGAGGGGAAGCATAACACAAACAAAGGTATGAATCAATTCCATAGAAGCAAATACAAAACAGTGGGACATGTACATTTTAACAGCAAGTTTTAGACAAATAAGGTCATCGGTATAAATTACTCATTCTCCAATTCCCAAGCTTTGATGACGCTCGTGAAATCAAATCTGTCTGGCTTCGAGCAACGCTGGCGCTCTATTTATTGTTAGCTAACTTTAGCTGTAATTGCTCCCGGATAAGCCTTACCAGCACATTTAGCTACCAAACACATTCCTCGGCGACTGCTGTACACGTGGACTTGATATCCAGTGCTAAACAAAACTGTACGCTTTGAAGCAGCTGTGTTTATAACAATCAAGCTGCCATGAGCTAGCTAGTTAGCTGCTAGCTTGCCCCGAATGAAAACCCGCATTACGGCCCATGCAACAGAAACAATGATGCTGGCTCTCGGTGCATCTCACCGTCTCACAATTCCGTCGGGTAAAATCTCGACAAAGCTTAAGCATTCACCACAAATAAAATACTATTTCGTTTCCCACTCACCTACACATGACCGCAGTTGGTTAAAACGTGCCTGTATTCTCTCCGTATTCGCCGCTTTGGGGGTTTATTGCCAAAACATTGTTCTCCGGCGGTCGCTGCTTTCGTCCATCTTGTCCTGGCGCGGGGAATTATGGGTGTAGTAGGGACGGGTCGTGAGAGGAGACAGGCTGGCTGAGGGAAGAGAGAGGCTGGACAGCACAGAGTGAGAATTATAGTAATGTAAACAACTTGGACACATTAACATGAAAACATCATGTAATGTGGAGAGACATGGCGTCGTGCAAGTCTTTATCTTTTTTAATTCAGGATTCAGAAAACGTCCCAAGTAAAACACATATCTCCCAGACATACAGATTGTCAACAGCTGACATGACAGAAAACACCTAAATTAAATGTAATGTAATTATTCAGAAAAGGACACTGGAGGACATGATAAGCCACACACATTAATTTATGGAAATAGTTTAATTGGAAGATAAAACAATGTATTGTTCAGGGTTCCTTTTGAAAGATTCAATGTTAGATAAAGGTTCAATATCACTTTAATGTTGAATGAAATATGTAATGAACGGTTGGATGTATATTTGGGAATGTGCATTACTGCAGTACTGAAAGGATTTTGGCAAAATATAAAAGAGGAGAACATATGATGAAAATATCTTTCACAATGGATCCTTTGTTGTCTATACAAAGAGTAACATTTACTTTGTTGCAATAATTGTCAGGTTTATATAATAAACATGTAATTTAGGTACATATAAGGTACTTAAATGATAACCTTGTATTTTTTTCGATTTTCAAGTAAGACATGCATCAAGATTCAATTTGAAAATGTTGATGAAAAAAGCTAGAAAACCATAGGTAAATAAATACTATTAACACAAATAAACATAAATTACAAACAGAGGGCAAAAGTAAATTCATTAAATCAATTAAGTAAAAGGACATTTCCATTCATAATAAAATAATAACACCTCATAAGAATATGGATGCTGATAAATAAAAAATGCAAATGAAAACTGCCACAAATGTTGAACTTTGTTAAAAAATTAAGACAGTATTGTTTTTTATGTGTATGATTCCGATATATATAGCACCATCTTCACAGTGAATTGATTTATTTCGATATTGATTAATGACTAATTTCATTAGGGAATTGGCTCCACGATAGTATTGATCAGTTCAGGGGTAATCTGCACTATGAATGAGAACATCCCTGTTTCAAAATGTAATTATAAAATCACATTTGTTTTGTTTGTGTTGTCTCCACAAAGTGAATGTTCATGAATAACTGATGATGGGGGTGAACAGGGCTCATATTTTGACCTTGTTCTGTTGTCTTCCTTAGATTGAATAGAACATGTTCTGTTGTTGTGTGATGCATTCACCATGATGAGTGTGTCCTTTTCCTTTATTGTTCAGGCACTACATTTGTGGCTTCGTAGAAATGGTTATTTTGAATGCTAATATAATAATCCTTGGGAGATTTCGTTTCTCCACTGATGCATTTTTATTTGACATTTTATATCAGCTAGAATTAGGAAAATGAGGACATTGTGTGTGTTTCTCCTGCAGTTTATGCAGTGTACTGTTTACCACACTTTACATGTTCTTCTGCTAAAAGCAAAACATGTCTTTACTCATTAACAAAATAAAGAGTTTTTGTTATCAACCTGTTATTGACAGATATCAGATTAACCCTTTAACTGCCAGACCAAGAAAAAAGCTATGGAAAAATTATTTGTTTGCATTTTTTTATCAAATGGGCCACAAATAACCACAAACACATTTTTTTTTTTGACTGACCACACAGTTTTGTTTGTATGAGCCTCTACCAACTGGTTGAGCTGGCCTTCTATGGTAAAAGTGCATTTTCAACAATCATCATATACAGTACAGTATTTGTATGCATCAAACTCAAATAAAACACAAACTCAAATACATTTGTTTCTTTTATGGAAAATGAGCAATATATACAACCAGATATATTCATAAAAGATAATAAATTATAATTGTAAACATTTTAATAATAAAAAAAATACTTGCTCATCTTACTGTATATGCTGAATTGGCCTAACAGGAAACCACTGGCCTAACAGCAAATGTCTATATCCTGTGTTGGCCTAACTTGCTCATCTGTGAGCAACTTTGGGCTGTATGCCATGCATGAAAGGTGCTATATAAATTATTATCACTCTTTCACTCTGAGACTCATAAGGCAGTACTAGATTTAGTAATATTACCATGAATCTAGCTATGTATTTACCACATTTTATTGAAAAACATCTCTGAAACTCTGAAAAAGTCATATTGCTAGTTTACCATAAAAGGCCAATTCGACCGGTTGGTTGAGCATATTTTCCAAAAAAATAATTACACCCTTGTTCAAACTTTTTTTGTGCATCAAGTTATCTAATTATGTTCAGTCAGTACTCTGACACTAAAATATGTCAAAAATGATATGGTTACCTTACACAAGTTGACCAAAAAGAGCGATTTCTTCAACAGTGATTTTTAGCATGCCAACTTTCTCAGAAGAAGCTAGCTGAAGGGCTTTCTGTTCAAACCACAGTGACATCTAGAGGTTGTTTTGTGCATAACATGTCAACCAAAGGGTAGAGCTGGCTGAATCAGATGGAGTTAAACCTTTTTTTTTTTTTTTCAACAAGATATCAAGACACAAAATGTGCTCTACCAAATGGTGGCGCTGGCAGTTAAAGGGTTAATGCCTTACAGTCAAGAGTTCATGGTATGCGCTTCGGGGGAGCTAAAAGCAAAACAATTACAAAATAAAATATCACTTAAAAATTACTGTGGCGGTTAACATTATTGACTCATCATGCAACCCTTTACGAAATACTAGGTATCAAGTATAAAGGCATGTCATGTAAAGTGTTTTTGATAGGGGAAGCATACTGTACTTAAAACACAATTAGAAACACATATTATTGTATGAAGGTTTAAAATATCGAATAGCTGAGATTCTGTTTTTTTGTGCACAGTTCAATTTGCATGTGTCATGTCCTCTGCTGATAAAACATCAACATATTTATTATGTCCAAATCCAAAATCATCCAGTAAAAAGTGTTTTTCCAATTGGTTTTCATTGCCACTTATATTGTATTCACTTCTAGAACTGAACAACTCTTTTCCTGCTGCCCTTGGAGTTAGTCCAACTAAATGTCTCACTCTGTCTGTTCTTCCTACCAGCCCCATACTCCTTTATTTCCAGTTAATCAACACAGCAAGGTCATTGTAAGATTATTGTATTGACAATGGTGACAGAGGAAATTACAATGCAACATTGTCCATGCATTCAAACTTGATATTCCTCTTAGGACTAGTGCCATTACAGCACCTGCTTTTACAGGGGCATGAACATATCTTACTATTAATACATTTACAGAAGAGACACAATCGTGATCATATTAAGGCGCTCATTGGAAAGAAAAGAGCAGTTATTCCATTTTCAAATGCTGTAAATAGCTGTAACGGCGATAAATCATATCAAAGTTGATCATATTCTCATAGGGACTTGGTGTTTATAGGCTATAACCCATTGTTGTTAATTGTGTGTATTTCTGGATACATTTCTCCACAATCTGTCAGACTGACTTACATTACATTTAGTTTTCTTTAAAGAATTATGCGGTCCATATTTACAGTAATTGACTCAGGTTTACTACCACTACAGTAACACTAGGGGGAACTAAATAGCCACCAATGACCCAAGGCTTAGACTAACCAATTTAATAGTACAGTGTTTCCCATAAGAGCCACCTTATCAGACATCAGGAAATGCTTTTAAAAGTAATGTGGAAACAAATTAAATTAAAGACTAAAAGGCTGCCCATGGTTTATTTCCGAGCTGCATTGTTTTCCATCTACCTGATTGTGCACAGACATAACACAAGATCTCTCTCTGTACCCTCACATCAGCTGCCCCACCCCCAGAGGAAGAGGAATAAACCACCCGTGCTGCAATTCGCCTTCAATCGTTAATTAGAAGTCACTACAAGAGCGTGTTCCCTGAGGCAGAAGTGCGCACTGTAGCCTGCTATTCACATTCACAGGTCTATTGAAGCAGCACCTGGTTACAGCGAGGACAAAGCCTCTGAATCGAGCTGTTTGGATGCAGCTTTAGTAAACGTAACGTTTTGAAGGTGGTTTATTTTTCCTGCATGGATGACAACTGAAGAAAAAGTTGGCACTTGCAGCTGACTCTTTTGCGTAAAGGACCGAATCTGAATCATGTATTGCGCAGAATCTCAGCTCATTTAGGATTAATTTTCAGGAGAGGCGCATCTCAACCTCACAGGATGCGAGACGCGCGCTGAATGGATTTTGGGCAGGGGGGGAACAAACTTGCGCAAAGAGCCTGATTCTGCACAAGTATCGATCACTTGTCACAAGTCGGGGATTGACACAATGGCAGCCTTACGGAAGAAATTTGGCGAGGACTACCAGGTGGTTAACACAAACCAGGGCATTACTTTTTCCGCACAGGTGAAGAAGAAGCGGCAGCGGTTCGTGGAGAAGAACGGCCGCTGCAATGTCCAGCACGGTAACCTTGGCGGGGAGACCAGCCGGTACATCTCCGATCTGTTCACCACTCTGGTGGATCTTAAGTGGCGCTGGAACCTACTCATCTTCATCCTCACTTACACAGTCGCGTGGCTGGTCATGGCTTCAATGTGGTGGGTGATCGCCTTTATCCGGGGCGACCTGAGCAACGGCGGCCACGACGACTCCTACACCCCGTGCGTCGCCAACGTGTACAACTTTCCCTCCGCGTTCCTGTTTTTCATCGAGACCGAAGCGACGATCGGCTACGGCTTCCGCTACATCACTGAAAAGTGCCCGGAGGGTATCATCCTCTTCCTCTTCCAGTCGCTGCTGGGCTCCATCGTGGACGCCTTCCTCATCGGATGCATGTTCATCAAGATGTCGCAGCCGAAGAAGCGCGCAGAGACGCTGATGTTCAGCCAGGAAGCGGTCATTTCGCAGCGGGACGGGAAGTTGTGCCTCATGTTCCGAGTGGGGAACCTGCGGAACAGCCATATGGTGTCCGCGCAAATCAGGTGCAAACTCATCAAGGTAAGCTATAAGTTAAACACGTAGTTTATTCAAAATCACTCAAAAAGTAGGCACACTTTTGCGCAGTGGGCATTTGCCTCTTGGAGTCATTATCCAGGCTAAGACTAATTGGCAGTCACTTAATTTGTTTTGAAATTGCTCATTGTGTTTTATGAGTGCTTTCCAAGTCATGCGTTGCATTCTCATTCATCTCCAGAATTGATTGCGCTCCCTGAGGGCCTTTATGATTTGTAGAGAGCTATGGGTTTAACACGAGGCTCCAACATAAGATGTATTTTAATGAGATACCATTCACACCCTGCAGCAACTATACTTCAGTAACTGGGTTTGTCCTGGACACTGTGTTGTGTTTCTGCACAGGATGCAGCATATACAGTTACAACCCCCCCCCCCTCAGTGTGCCTATAGCCTTCAACTGTGCTAAGATGAGATGAATGGGCCCTCAGGGGACAACATACACGCCTATTGACTAAACGATCAATCAGAGCAATTCTTTTCCTGAGTGGGCTGCAATGTAGTAAAGACTTTTTCTTAAGGTCAGTCATAAAGACAAAATGCCACTAATCTGAAGCACTGATAGTAGGAAGAGATTTACCTTTGCATGACGTGAGGGCTGGTTTCAGTGCTGAAGGTATTCTGAGGATGGAAGGAGCTTCTGGCTGTGATGAAAGAGAAGAGGATAACATTTTGTCAATTTCAAAACTACAAGAAACTGCAGCGATGATTACTGCATTTTAAGATTGTATCGTTAAATTAGGTTTCTGAAGTACCAATAATACTTTTTGTTCTCTGCAGAATTTCTGACAAACAGCTGGACAGCACTTATTTTCTACACATGTTGTCCACATGCATTGCCACAAGCAGATATTTCTTGACAGTTGTGTGTCTAATCTGCAAGCCCTACGTTTTCTCTCCGTAGCAGGAATGTCTTTTAAATGTATTCTATTTTTTTTTCCTGTCCAAACACTAGCCGATATCTAAAGGAGAGCGGTGCTTTGTTGTGACAGGGAGAGTTAGTCGTGCTTTTGTCTTCTCTGCCGAGTAGCGTGATGATCTCAAGTGACAGTTTACTTTCTGAACCTCGAGGGAAAGTCTCCAGAAAGCTCCCAGTATGTTGGTATTAATGTGGTTATACTTCATCTTCTGTGATTTTATCCAGGCATATGATATCATTTGAAATAAGGTTTTCTGTTCAGTCATTTTACATTTGATGAGAGTAAAAGTATCCAGTAGGGCAATAAAAGTCACCCAGTTTAACCCATCAAAAGCCTCAACAATGTATAAAGGCTAATGTTCCAGCTTTCACTTCAATTCGTTTTTTTCCTTCTGTTATCATTAACTATTTAATGAACAGCCGACAAAAGGCATAGACAAATATGGTGTGCTAATTGCAATTAATCAACCGGGCATCATCAAGTCACAAATCATAATTTCTTGTTGGTCTACGAAGGCTATAGGAGTCACATTTAGAGCGTTTAATATTCTGTAATAGTCGTCCATGACACATTAAATCAGTTATTTCAAACAGAATATTGGTAGTAGGACCATGCTTTCATGTTTTACCTTGCTCTGAATAATCTGTACCAATAATAAAGATATCTCCTTAGTAGAATTACCCTGTTTGGCACAGGGAACTTCCACACAGTTGGGAATTTAGTTATTTTTGTATATCTTAAGGCCTATTGGATAAGTCTGAATCTTGCACACAATATTTAAAACAGAACTAAGTGCTGCAGTGTGTTGCAGAGTAGATTACAAGTACTTAAGGTACACTGCACCATACTTAATCTTCCCTTTACCGCTTAGGTCTTTTTTTTTAAGTAAATGAACCTGCCTGAGTGTAATATAATTAGGGCAATAGGGAAAGTTTGTTTATTAAAGTGTTCAACTTCTCACCATCTGTCTCTGTGATTTGGTAGTTCAACAGACATCGGTTGATCACATTTATGTGATGATATTACTTTGGGATTCCTGCCAGTAAATGATGAGCTTTCATTAAATGTGTTTGTGGACGGTCAGGCATGCAGGACTTTGCTAATTATCCGCTAAAAAGCATCACGTCCGTGTGCAATCATTCGTGCCGCGAGGACCAACAGACAACTAACTTTGTACAGTGCAGTTTCATTTTTCTTTTATTGTTCTGCTTCTACAATTATATAATACCCTATTATAAGGTCAAACCTCTACTTTCTTTGGCTTCTAGATGAAATGTGTTGTTAAAAGGGTTGCATTGTGCAGGAAACATTGTTGCTGAATAGATGGTGTTATAATGTGTCTTTCAAAGTGTGTGTTAACTGTCTCAGTGATGTTTAAGAGCCCATAAAGCATTGGGCTACAGTAAAGTGACTCTACATCACCTCGTTGTGCTCTACCTGGCTTGTGTTCCAGCGATGCACGGCTCAAGGTCATTGTTAGGTGGGCTCCTAACAAAGCTGACTGGAGATACAAGACATGCCGCAGTAAATCCAAGTGATGGAGCTGTGTAAACGCACAGTGACATGGCAACTGCAATCAATTTTCAGGGAACGGCATGGGCTGTAAATTCTTACGGGACCTGGATACTTAGATAAAGTTAGTCACATTCCTGATTAGCAGGCACGTTATTTACAATGCAATGTCATGTATTCATTACGCAGGACTGCATCTCTAACTTTTCAACACTGAAGAAAACACACAAGCAGAGCTGTCAGGGAATCTGCTTTAAACACAAGCAAACCAAGTAAGCATATTTTGGGGCAGTGAGTTCAGTTTTTCAGCTTTATTATTTTCACACTTTTTTATATTGATTCAGAATTTGATGTAAGACTATTGTCCTCATCCTCATGTTGTCAAAACTAGGGCTGGTAGATTATGGCATAAAAATAATAAATCACCATGTAGGGATTACGATTGTTCAACACAATTATTGACTACAAATTGACTTTGGAAACATCATGCTTTAATTCAACCTTTTTAACAGTTGAATTCCTGAAAATGTTTAATGGAATTTAACAGAAAAATAAATAGCGTTTTTTTAATGGAAATTAAAGCATTAATGCAGCGTCTATATGCTTTAGATGTTTTTCCCCTGGCTATAGTACATACATATATAATGCCAGGGCTGTTTGCTTTTCTGAACCATTTGAAGGCCTGAGGCTTAAAGTGTCGTAAATACAGTTGCAAAGTGGGAGGGGCCAATGGTCCTGGAAGTGTTTTCACCAATTCTGGACAGGTTTTGGGTGGAAGTGTAAAATGTTATACATTTGTTACTATTTGTGACTTTTTGGTGTGCAAAACAGTTATTGATACCGGCATTACAATATTTAATAGAAAAGAAAATTAAAGGCACACAACTAATTGTCAATGTTTATTAGATAAATATTGTTTTCTTTTTCTACACTTTACTACACTTCATTGTGTTATTTTAATTATTCATGCAAACATTATTCCTTAGCAGCACTGTGCTTTTCTCTACATTCATAATGCATATTAACTTTAGAAGATAACTGTCCTTGAATTTACATTAATATTAATGCAGCTTTCATTAATAAATCAATACAATGCAGTGGTGCACTGACAGAATATGAGTTTAATATATAGGTAGTAGAGCCAGCAGTGCATGTAGGAATGCACCCGGCCTAAAAAGTGCGCAATTAAAAAAAAAGAAGCAATAGAGCGACAGCTGGGCGGTGCTCGTCAATGTCAACAGACACTCGTCTCAGTGGGTCGGTCCACAGGAGGAGATCAGTGATGAGGGCTAGTTCAGACAGACAGTAGCAGATAGACAGGCAGGCGTTTAGCTAGGCAGGCAGACACACGAGCGTGACTCGCCACATCTGCCACTGTCTTACTCTGAAGGACAGGCGGAAAGTGGTGAAGAAAGAGAGTAGAAGACCTGAGAGAAAGACTTTAATGGTGCTGTCGAGAGATTGGGAATGGCAGCCCGAAAGTGACGCCTGTGTGAGCATTACGTTTGATGTCCAGCTCAAAGGTTCCAGCTGCACATACACACGTACACAGATGCATTAAAGACAAACAAGGTGCACACACACACACTCTTCTGTTATAACTTTCACTGTCAGTGTGTCTTTGCATCGCACTCACACACACACTCTGCCTCTGAGGAGGAAGTGAGTCACCAGGGAGAGGGCCTGCTTTCACTCAACCTGAATCTCAGGTGGCTCGGTAAATTAAGCACTCCCCCTCTATCAGGTCCGCTTCTAAAGGCCATTAATTTCCCCCCCTGTGACACTGACTGTTTAGCGACGGTTAGCGAACACAAAGCTTTCACCTTGTTAAAACCATTTAGTGTCAAGCCGCCTTCCTTGGTGGAGGTATAATTTTGTTGCGATGGAGCTATGAACAGTGTCTGAAAAATAGCAGCTTCAACTCTCACGACTAGAATTGGCTTAAATATGACTTCCCCGGAAATTGGTTTCCAAAATCATATCCTTGAACGAGCATTGCTGAAAAATGGGACACCTGCCTGCAATATATCAACGACAATTTAAATGTTTTAATGATTTGGAGAAATAAATTAATTAATATATAATCACAACAGGCTTTTAAAAATGATGTCATGTGCTTCTGCCACTTAAAGGTGTGGGAGGAAGCTTTTCAAGAAACGGTGATCAAAAGCAATATGGAAAAAAACACACAACCATTACACTTGTATTTAAATGTTATGCTTGCCTGTTTGTTTCACCTTATCTCTATTAGATGCAGGAGCATGTTGCAGGAAGTGGGTTAATTAACTACACAAAGTGCAATTATATGAAAATATCAAAGGGAAGCAGCAATAATTAGCACATCTATTCATTTAACAGATATTTCACACATCGACAATTCATAACAATAAACCATACGCTGCTGGAAATGACACCGATTTTGATTTGCATTTAAAGTAATCATTGGATTAGATTGATACTGCTTTCAAACAAAACAAGTTTAATTGATCTTCTCCGACTCTTAGCAAGAAAGCAAATACATATATTATCTAAAATGTCAAACTATTTATATAACTTTCAAACCAATAATCCCTTCCTTGGTATTTACACTGCATCTATTACACCTTTTATGATGAGAAATGCCATGAAGAAGTGTATCAAGTAGAAGAATATACAGAGTGGTTGATTTAAGGACAAGGAGTTGGTGTGTGTGTTTTTTTTTACAGCTTTTCCCTTCTTGTTTTTTCCCCCCCAGGCATCCACACTTAAGAACTGTTGTTTTCAAAACACCCACACTTCTAGATTTCAGGGTTTCATTCTGATTTAACTTCAGTCGACATGGAACATAGGCGTCCTGTCTGCAGATTTAGTGAGCGGCCATCACTGATACAGCATGATGGGTGACACTCTCCCTCACCACGCCAGGGATCTGTGGGCACAGACGTCTTCCTGTGAAATGTCACACCCTTCTCTCCTCAACATCACTGTGAATACAAATGACAATTTGTTTGCCATCTGCGGACCAAGTGGCTCCTCACTCAAAGGACCAGGGAGGCGGCTCTGCATACAAGTTAGCATGAGGCATCAGGGAGAAATATTCAAATTGAGCCATAGCAGAATGTTACTTAGTTTAGATTAGACATGTGCAGTTTTTTTTTGCTTTGTTTTCACTAGTGTTGATGGTTGAATGGGTTGGAACAGGGTTTTTATTTGTGTCCTTCTTGGTAAAACAAACACAATTTTCTTTGTATCAACTGCAGTAAGAGGCTTGCAATAAAGGCACGTTTAATATATATAAGCTCATAGAGACGTTTAAGCATTCTCCCTCATTCCATGGTATAATTCAACACTTAAAAAAGTACTTCATTTGATTGAGCTTAGTTTTTCCAGAGCTAGCACTAGTGTCTTCACCTTTATTAGAGGTGAGGCTACCACAGAGAGTTTTTAAGTTCTCTAATGATAGTAAAATATTATTGTCTTAAACTACAAGTGTTACCAATGTTCATGTGGTCAAACAGAATAGCTTTACACCCTTATTCTCACCTTTACCCATGTCTGCCAGTAAGTGGATAGCAAACAACATCAAGGTCCTGAGAATGAATGTTCTTTTCTCTCTGTGTATTTCTTTGTATTTTTACATCAAAAGCCATCCTCGTGTCGGCAAAAAGGGTCGAGTTTTTTTTGTTGACTCATTCAACTCAAAAATAGAAATCCCATCCAATAAAATTTCCCATTTTACACAACGTCCAGGTCTGGTGAGTCAATCCAGCACTAAAGCAGAAGGTCAGAGGGTTGCATTTAAGTGCCATCAATTTGCAGGAACATCAAAAATAAATCCTGCGGCTTGGATGATGGAATTGATCCTGAACAACTATGATCAATTTTAGTTTGCAGGCTTTGTCCTGCCTGCGTTTGTGCTTTTAACTCCCTCCTTACTTTAGCTGCCACCCCAAACGTACTATTTCATGTGGAACTACGTCTAATCACAGGAAAATTGCTTCTCAAAGCTATTTCATGGGACCTTTAACACAGCTTCAGTTACATTCCCATCAGGGTTATACACCTGCAAAAAAATACATGCATACAGTAGTTCTAAAGGGTTATGGTTGGAAAATGTCCTCTAAAGTGGAAAATAATATTCAACAAAACTGTCTCATATCCTGAAGCAAAATGGATGAAGCCTTCAATTATTGTTATTTCATTACAACAAAGACGTGACTTGAATATTGGAGGTTTTCTATTTGCCATCTTGTATAGGCTAATATCAGCTGCTTTGTCGAACAGACACTTTCATTAAAACCACAATAATGATTTCAAAGAAAACATACATTTTGGGAAAATGCCCTCTTTCCCTTTCCTATCAAGTGTTGGGGTGAGATTGATACTACTCTATGAAAGTGATATTGATCTTTATTTTTTTAATTCTCCCCAAGAAAGTTAATAATATAATCTAAGACTTCAAACTACAACCATTAAGAACAGATCAAACACTTAGGGCTATAGACCTAGTGATTTTGAAATTCAATACAAAGCATTCAGTGGTGGTTTAATTACACAATTTAGAGAAAAGGTTGCAGAATGATTCTCAATGTTCTCTTGTAATAATAAATGAAATGTTAAATGTCATCATTATTTGTTTTCCAGTCTCGGCAAACCCCAGAGGGCGAGTTCCTTCCCCTGGACCAGTGCGAGCTGGATGTGGGTTTTGGGACGGGGGCGGACCAACTCTTTCTGGTGTCGCCTCTAACCATCTGCCATGAGATCAACACCAAGAGCCCGTTCTTTGATCTGTCGCAGCGCTCACTCATGAATGAGGAGTTTGAGATCGTTGTCATCCTCGAGGGCATCGTGGAAACCACTGGTTCGAGCATTCCCTAATAACTTTGACTTAACTTCCCATTCCCTTAACATTTATTTCATCATCATTTAGCCTTTGGCATAGAGCATTTCTCAGTAATATAAAATAAAATATTTAAGGGAATGTTTAATTTCATGGTCTTTAATTATTTAATAGCACTTCTACAGTACATCTTTGTCATAATACATTTTCCTCCCATCTCTGTCTGTATTTTTCCTAAAGCAATTATGCACTTTTCATTTCTGTTCCCTGTCTAGCTGTCTGTCCATTCTGATTTAATAGCCCACTTTCTACACATTTCTCAGTCCTTTCTTTTTCGTGTCTGTAGTTAAATGATTTCTCTATGTCTCTTCACTCCATCTTAGGGATGACATGCCAGGCGAGGACATCTTACACCGAAGATGAAGTCTTGTGGGGCCATCGTTTCCTCCCCGTCATGTCACTGGAGGAGGGCTTCTTCAGAGTCGACTACTCCCAATTCCACAACCACTTTGAGGTCAATATCCCTCCCTACAGCGTCAAAGAGCATGAGGAGAAGTCCTCTCTGACGACGGCAAACTCGCTCCCTGCCGCACTGACCAGCTCCTCTCCCCAGCTGGGAAACAGTAGCCGTGGAGGTCGCAGAGAAAGGCTCCTTTCAGCCGACTATGCAGACCACGTAGATGACAAAACATCCAGGCTACCGAGCAAACTCCAGCGCATGAACTCCACTAAAGATGAGCACCACTGGCGGGGACTGAAGACAGGGTCAGTCCTGCCTGGGGGAAAGGCCTCCAGCACAGGAGACCTTCCACTTAGTATTCAGAGGCTGAGGTCTAGCTCCATCCCCGTTGTGAAGAAAGAACAGCTGGATGAGCAGGTCCAGCTGCTGTCCTTGGATGGAGATGTTGAGGAGTGTGAGATGGATAAACACAGACTGCCTAAAGCCATTAGCACCATTTATGCTCCAACCCCGGTTCAGATTCCCTCAAAAGGGGGTCGGCCAGAGGACAACCTGCCCGCCAAACTGCGCAGAATGAACGCTGACCGCTGACTTCTGCAGACTACTTTTAAGACGTTTTGAAATTAAATCAGGCTTGATGGGCATTGCATATAAACAAAGACTACTGTGATACAAGTTTTATTTTTTTTCTGCAGATTTGGGCCAGTATTTTACATTTAATTAGGGGCTCTCTACTTAGTTGTCCATTGCCACAAATAGAAGGACAACGCCAATAAGCCATCCATCCGCTCATACTGTAAGTCATTTTTGATAGATCACCATTTGTGCCCCCCACTGACTTTAAACACTTCCCTTGTTTCTTTCACTGTCTTTCTTCTTAGAGTTGCATTACATACTTTATTATCTTAAAAGACTATACCCGTTAATTACCAAAGTGGCAGTAATAAATAAGACTAATCTGGAATTCACCATTCGCTAAACCCCTCCTCCAAACAGCGATTGTCCAATCAGTAACCAGGCACTGCAAGTCTGTCAAGTTTGGGATTTCTATTCCTCAAGCGTTTCACATTGGGCATTTTGTGCCCCTATTTCATAAGGGAAGATTTGCCGGATGTTGTGGACTTTCAGTCGACTGACCAGGGATGTGATAAGGGGTGTGGTCAGGAGTTAAACATTTGTAACTTTGTTCAAACAAGGGCCAAATTTAGTGAGTCCACTTAATTAAGTTTCTATATAAGAGTGATACCTCTGAATTTAAAGAGTTTGGTCGTCTGGGAAACCGTGCGTATATGTGCTCTAGTCTCAAATGAGGTGCAAACGTCAGCATGTACCACAGCATACCTGCATAACTAAACGACTGTTAAGGAGCACGGTATGTATCATGCCTAATAGTAGTTTATGGGGTTTACAGGTCAACAAAAAACCCTCACAGCTAGCACATACCACACTGTGTGAATGCTGATACTGGAAACTCGCAGGGTATGCTAACGTCACCACCCAATCCTGCTTAACTAGTGTGGTTGTTTACTTTTTACAGGGATGTATAAGCTTAACCCTCACTGTTTTAGCACAATATCATGTATGTTGACACCAGGCGCATATTTACGAACTCTTTAAATAATTGTAATAAGAAGCAGTTTTAAAAATCAGCAGAAGACCGAGTATTCAGCTAACAGAGCTAATGTTAGCTTAATTAGCTGCTAATTTACGTAAAGCTGGAAAAATGGATGGTTGCCAGCTACAAATGAGACATCTGTATTTGTCTACCTCTTAAGTGTAAAATGAAGGACCATTGTTTAAATACAAATAAGAATTTAAATCTGCCATCATTGTAAATAAAGAGATTAAAAGTTTGGAAGACAAAGCAGGGTTTAGCTAATGGTCAATCCAACTGAAATGGGTAATACATTTAGGGAAACCCTAAAACAAGTTAGGTTGATACACTATATTTATTTATCACTTGTACTGAATATTTGTTTGTTTGAATGCCTATTTTATTTGTATCTTTACTACTGTACAATTGTAACTATTTGTACCCCTTGGTGCAGTGTGTGCTTTTGCATTGACTCGTATATGTATATATGGTTGAACAAATGTAATCCCAGATTAATTTAGAACTCTTTCATCATGAACTGATTTATAAAAATCCAAAACAAATATTTGTGAATCCAGGGTTGCTGACATCAGGGGATACTTATTATTGCCATATAAAGGAACGTTAAAACTTCATATTGCAAATGCTTAATAATAAATTATTTGAAAATACAAGTGCTGAGTATATCATTTTCTTGACCAAATTGAAATATTCATCTTCTCTGTTGGACAGAATCAAGCTTTCAAAACCCAGTGGTATTTCAGTCTTTTTCAAATGTTTTATTTCATATTAAAGCCTTAAATATGAATGTGAGTTTTATCAGGGAAAAAGTACAGAGTAGCTCCAGACAAAATACTCTGGTGGCATTCAAACTATTACTGATTTATCGTTGTTAATGTGCTTTACGCTGCTTACTTAGAATGAAAGCCCTTAGCCTTAATCTGGGTGCAACCTCAGCTAATCATTTAAATGTTCGGTATCTTAAAGATGTAATGCTGTTCACCAGCCTGGTCAGTGGCACCGTATGAACACTGCATGGTACGACATGGCTCTAATCAACTTAACTAGATGTTCCATTAGCAACAGTTGTAGATGTGACTAGGTACTTTTTATTCGTTCCAGTCTCGAGGTTGCAGGCAAGTCAATACTCGACATGGACTTAAAACACTGCTCGAGATAAAACACTGCAGACAACAGACTGTTCAGAGACAATCTACACTAGTGCTACATGTATCATATTGCAGCAACCCATTCTTTTGAAAGCTACTGTCATCAATAACCAACATATTTAGCCTATAAAACAAATCCACACACCACAATGTACAATCAAGGAAGAGCATACCTTTTTTTTTCTTTGCAGATGATTAGACGAGTGCCATGCTGAAGAAGATGCTAGACACTCTTGTACAACATTATTATGCCGTTTAACTCAGGATGCTGCCTACATAACGCAATAGTAATAAACCCCAAAGTACCAAAAGGGAGCTGAACCATGCAGGGGAAATGAGGAATTAGTTTGGTCTTAATTGTGGCTATCAAGATAGAAGTGCACCAGAGGAGGGCAATTTGCCAGACATTGCACATCAGAGGATGTCCAGAACTAATTAGTTATACTGCAAACAATAGCTTAAAACATACATTTGATTATGTTACTCGTTGACAGTGCAAAATGACCTCTGTCCAGCTAAAGATAAAATGAGCTCAGATGAATGTAAGGGGGAAGAATAAATCACAGGCCATTCTTCAAACAGACGTAATACAGTATAATGATGGATTCAACTGTAAAGGAAAATCTGTTTTGCTCATTCTTCTGTCATTAAATTGTGTTTGGGGAATGGATTGGTCTAATTTTCCCTTCAGAGACACTTCCTTGGTACAATAATGGTTATTACATCTATAGAATAAACATGCAAATGACCCTGGTCTGATTTAACTGTCACAATCAGGCCATATATTCTACATAATTGGATGAGATCCAACCAAACAGTAAACAACCAAAAAGTACATTTACTTCTTGAGCACCATATGGAAATCCTATGCGTTCAAAAGCTGAGCCGAATAAGAACAGACTTTTACAACAGAAGGTAGCAGATAGTTGATTATCACACAACAATAACCACACGGTGAAAATACTTGAAAAACAACACTGTTCCACACATTCATATTTTTTAGTGTGCTATTGTTTCTTTATCTTAAACTCTTAGCATTGACCTTTCTGTATGAAGTCCATCAGATACAGCAGCAAAAGCGGCACGATTTTGTTCCAATATTGGTTATTCTTTTCTACCCTTAAAGAGACTTATTCACAATTGTAATATTTAAAAGTCCAAAACAATTAATCAGTGTGATTTACGATTGTTATTCTCCTTCATGTGTACAAGGGTGTGAGTCAGTCAGTCAGAGTGTGAGGATGTATTTGTATGCCAACATAGATGCAGATGTGGCTAGAGAGCGTGACTGGGAGCTGTACAGCTGCATGTTTACCTGTGAGCATAGGGAAACAGAGTGAGGCGCTCTCAGAGGAAGCACAGAGATCAGATCACACATCCACATTGACCAGATGCTCATCCATAGTCAATGAGCACGAAACTGTTGCTTCTCTTAAGCACGGCGCCATTAGAGTTGTGAGCCGGGGCTATCATGACTGGGCTGTGAGGTTTCAGCTCTGTACCTCTTGGACATTGATAGAGTCATTTACAGGTCCCAGAAGCTGTGAACAAATCTGTATCTATGAGCTCATATATGTGAAAATGTCAAATGAGTTTGATCTCACTGAGAAAGCAACCATCAAACTTCTGAACATTTCCCTGAGGGATCTGTTTTGTTCACGAAAAAAACAGAAAAATAATATTACAGGGTATAAAACTGTAAAACAAACCTTTGATTTTGATCATTCAAAAATGTGCTAGGGATATGTATTCAACAGAAAATGCACAGTTGGTCATGAGAGATGTATAAAGTTTCCATTGGATCACTATGACAGATTGGAGAGGGCATAATTGACTTGTGGTGTCAGCTGTGTTGTGCCCACAGGCTCGCTCTGGGCAGCCTGGGTAAATAGTGCTCGGCTCCCCCTGCAGAATCTCAATTACTTTACTTTCTTTGCTTTCTACCTGAGTCACTGTGCGTCAATTCAAGTGCTCTTTATTTCATTGATGTTCTTTAAGTCTGAAGGGTGCAAGTGGAAGTATTTTTTAAAAATAAACCATTTAGCACTTGAAACATTGTTCTTTCAAGATCCATTTCTCGCATGTATTCATATTTAGTGCAAACACTAAAAGGGAAGCAATCTCAGATGTCTTTTCAAGCCCAGTATTATTACCTTGTTGTGATAAACCTCAACAATAAAAGAATATAGTTATCCCTGAGGGAATAAGGAAGTCCTTTCAGCAGCAGTCTCACCGTTCACCTGAATCAAACTGACATTAAGGGGTCGCTTAAGGTACCAGACCAACATACAATTATCCCCCGACTCAGCAGTTCCCCTCAGCTCTATGGAGCATTTCCACATCTCTCAGTTTAACTCGAATGCTTTGGTTCACTTCCACCACTTCAGCAGGATTGTATTGGGAACAGTTTGCAGCTGTTTCCTGTGAAAACATCTCTAAAAACCACCTGCTCAGCACCAAATGGCAGACAACTAGCTTGTGAAAATAATCGAGAACTTAGCAGCTAAAGAGGCAGATATGTCCCTCAGGAGAAACAGAATGAAACAGATGGAATTTGCTGGATCGCTATCTGCTAGATGTAAAAAAAGGAAACCGTCTGCAACTACTACTGTCCGTTTAGCAACTTTACAAGGGGATATTCGTCTGTAATGCGTTTACAGTTTGTTTGCACTGATGGCCAAACAATGTGTTAATGCAGGTTTGAATATCGATTACTTAAAGGGGACCTATTATGCAAAATGCACTTTTGTACGTCTTTTATACATGAATATGTGTCCCCGGTGTTCCAGGGAACTCACCAAGTGTCAGAAAACACAACCCTCTCTATTTTCCTCCATACCCAAATCTCTAAAAAAGGGGCTGCAACGGATCTGATAAAAACTGATCCAGATTTGAACACTGTCCTGACGTCAGGACGGTGGCGCTACGTCTATTGGGCCAACTCCACCAATCAGGAGGAGACAGCCACGGCCATTGCCGTTCGAAAGCGCTGGAGACGATGTAGTACATATGCCAGGCCTCTAGATGGTGCTGTTGCTCACATAATCAACCCTTGCTAAGAGCTAACATTTTTCAAATTGAGCGAAATGAGGCATGGCTAAAATGCATGATCTGTTTGGTATTTTGAAAAAAAAAAAGTATAAATATGCCTTATATAGGTATGGTCCTATAC